ATGGGGTGACGAATTCTCATCCAAATCACCAGTTGAGGACATTAATGTTCAATACTGTCGATATCTCCTTCAAGTTTCCCAAAGAACCCCAATTATGGGAATTTACAGCGAGTTAGGAAGATACACTTTGGATATATTTATTAAAAATCAATTAATAAAATATTACAATCATATTAAAAATACTAAAAATGTTTTCCTTAAAAAAGCTTTTACAGTTAATAAAAGCCTAAAAACTAAGTGGTCTGGCAGACACAATTGTACTCCACTCAGTAACAGGGTTTGTGACATGTGTAATCAAGATACCATTGAAAATGAATTTCATTTTATGGTGGAGTGTCCCAAATACAGAAATAGACGCAGTGTTCTGTTGGATACAGCGGCTGATGTGATTGACTCCTTTCACAACCTGCCTCCTGAAGAAAAGTTCACTGCACTGTTAAATAATGATAGTATTGTCATCCAGGTAGCACAGTATATCAACAAGTGCTTTGAAATTAGACAAATGTTGGATTAATTGAAGGAGTTGTTTTATTTGTTTTATTTATTTTTTCTCCATTAATATTCTGTTTTTGTAGATTAGTTTATTTTTTATTTTTTTTTTTTATTCCTTATTAGTGTATACTTTTACTAATATCTGTTACCATTGCCACTCTCTCCGGGGAGTGAGTAAGTGTTAATAAATAAATAAATAAATTGAGGAATACCTACATGGCCTCGTTTCACACAGACTGCGAAATGAACAGCGAGCCAGAGATTTACATATTTTCATTGAGCGTCGAAAAAACACAGATCAAAAATTAAAATTTAACAATGAAAAAATGTTTAAATGTTCACGTATTTTTTACTCTTATTTGGGGGAAATTCTCAGTAAAAATCTGGAAATCATCAATGAATAACAACAGCATAAATAAACAAACCTGATTACTGAACTGAAAGAAAATGGCGAGATCTGGATGTAGCGCTGAATGTGATGCGATCTTGCAGTCTCTGTCGGATTTCTTTGCCAGCCCATGCATAAGTATTTCCTGACTTTCAGAACATCATATATGCCACTCTCGTTTCAAATTTAAAACTTGTGACACAGAAATCTAGAAAAGGCATCTACAATCCCTGGCTAAAATCACAGCCAAACGAAATCATGGCGACCCCCGCAGATTTGTTTGATAGCGCCCTCTGTTGGTTTTAATTAGAAACCCGGAAGATAAACGCTAAGCCGGAAACCGAAAATGGCAGCGCGGTTGAGATGTCATGCTTCCAACGGTTTCCTTCGAAATCAAAATGGTTTTGAAGTATTTTCAAGGAAAGCATGTAGATATTGCCATATAAACAACAGATCGTTACTTAGTATACAATACGCAAGTTGTGAACCGAAACCATTAGTTCGCTTAGAGGGGAAACGAGCAACATCAACAGGTTAGTGAGATATCTCAGTGATCGTGATCGTTCGAATGAATAATGATGCAACGAGGACATTTAATTTCTCATGACACTGTTCTTATGCTATCTCTGTAGTTGACATCGACTAAATTATTTCACATTTCTCTCTTTATAATAGTTTTACATGAACGTAATATGTGTTATGATAGCCGAGATGTAGCTCTTCAAACTCCAGAAAAAATAGATTATTACTTTGACACGCATGCTTTGGTGAAAATAATGGATAAAAATGGTGAGTTAAACTTTTTCACATTTTAATAGCAAATATGTTTATAAATAATTTTAATGAACTTTGTATTATTAATAACCAAATGCAAAGAAGATAAAGGTGATGTAATTCGTAGATCATCAAAGGCGTGTACGTTATAAATAAAGTTATTTGAACTTCACAGAGACATTGAAGACCATGTTGCAGTGTCCAATAAGTTTGCCTTGTATAGTGTCCTCTGATATTTTCCTATGTACTAAGATCATTTTATGAATTTTAAAAATGGGTGTCCTTGCAAGTATGAAGATCACGCTCTGCACTTAAAGGGCGGTGGTTGTGCACTTAAAGGGCGGTGGTTGTGCACTTAAAGGGCGGTGGTTGTGCACTTAAAGGGTGGTGGTTGTGCACTTAAAGGGCGGTGGTTGTGCACTTAAAGGGCGGTGGTTGTGCACTTAAAGGGCGGTGGTTGTGTACTAAACCGTCAGTGACTTCTTTGATACCTTTCAACCACCAATGAAATTACCTAAATAAATTACCTAATTTCCTAAATGTCTCAGTTTATCTTCGTTTGTGCAACAGTCAACGTTGCCATCTTTGTTCATATGAAACTGATATATCCCGTATATGCATGGTGTGGCGACTACCGACCTTTAATCAGAACTCCAACTCTGTATATTGATTGATGATAGTTGTGTCAAATGATTGAATATAATTATTTGTAGGATTCAGTGAATCACAGGCAGAATGTTTGATATCCCTACTTGTAAAGATCATCAATAAAACAATGAATATTCAAAAGACAAACTCCGTGACGAAAGCACAGCAGGTAAAATAAAATGAATATTAACTGCCGGAGGAACAACATTTATGCAAATGAGATAGGCTTACAGCCAAAACAAAGTCAGCTTGGACGTTCAGTTGCGAGACGTAACAAAAAAAACGCAGCCAGTGATACATTTTAAAAATAAAAATACAAAATAAACGCAATCAGAGGCGCCGACCACGCACGTTGGTAATATATAGAACGCGTTGTGACAGTCTCACCAGCCTCTTTCACTGACGCAATATAATTATGCTATTTCCCAACGCACTTATATTTAATACATTGACGAAAAACACCACAAGAAAAATGTAAATCAAGCTTGTAATTACAAGTAACTCAACTCGAACGCAATATTCATCACTGGAAAAGTGGATAACTTCGAACCAGCCAGCTCATGACCGGAGACGTCCGGTCGTCTTCGTTGATAACTCGCTAATTCACCATAATCGTGGCGGTGAACTGTTTAGCTGATTTTTAAAAGATGGACATTCAATTCATATTCATCCCAACTTATTTGAAAATTCATTTGGAAATTTGAAACATTGTTAAAAAATCCTGTACAGGGATATGTCTGATGTCAACTGATATGATGCAATTATCCAGCCAGTACTAGAAATTATTGCTGATAGTAAACATGTTTTGTATTGGGAAGTTGGATACTTGAACGTGTAGTCCCGGGGCATGTAGTAGACGAGCATAATCGTACTGTCACATGTATTTCGTCTTAGCCTTAGCTTTGTCTTCATTGAATGTTTAGTTTGATAATTTATAAACATATATTCAGTGTGAGACTGTTGTTTTCAAGTTGTGTTAATACAAAGATGATTTAAACTTGTCCCTTCCATTGCCAACGTATTCAATATACGGAAATTGCATGCGTGTGTGCATTTGCGCGAGTGAAAGATGCATGTGAGATTTCATGTCGCAACGTGTTCTATTTATTTCCAACACACGTGGTCGGCGCCTTTGATTGCGTTTATTTTGTTCTTTCATACTCAAAATCTATCGCTGGCACCGTTTATTTCGTCATATCTCACAACTGAACGTCCAAGCTGACTTTGTTTTGGCTGTAATAGGCTTGGGCCAAAAAAACTGTGTCTCCAATAACCCTACCTTACCTAAATTAAACCATAAACTTTCCACATTTTTTTCCCGATTTATATTGTTTTCATATCGTCTCAGTTACTTGCTATTGCAAAGATGAAAATTACGTCATTTTATACATGACATAGAAGCATTTTTTTAGAAAATTTATGTAGAATATTCAGTAACAATAGCAATTTTGTCATGATTTAATTTAGCAGTGGTTGCTATAGTAATAAGCTCAATGTCTCAAGAATTTCTTGATTTCTCCATTTTTTTTCTTATTTTTAGGAAATTATGTTGCAGCAAGTAATGTCTCACATTGCTTCAGTCAAGAAAGATATGGTTATATTAGAAAAAAGTGAGTTTTCAGCACTAAGAAATGAAAATGAGGTGAGATTATTAGCCTAAGTAGCTTTAACTGGTCAAATAACAAATATTATGTAATGGGGATACTACCTTAATTTTGTGTCACATAATTAAGAACCACTACACAGATTCATGGATTAGTGATATTAATAGAACAGATTCTAAGCTTAGAACATACAGCCTCCTTAAAAATGATATCAGTACGTCACCATATCTGCATTTATTACATAATAGAGAAGACATCAAAGTAATGTCACACTTGAGATTGAGCTGCCATAAACTTCAAATTGAAGTTGGCAGAATGAAAGGCCAAAAATACCAGCAGAAAAAAGAATCTGTAAAAAATGCACTTCATCAGAAATTGAATATGAAATACATTTTGTAACAGGGTGTGATTTTTATAATACTGAAAGAGAAATACTTTATACAGAATTCACAAATGTACTCCCCACTTTTCAATCAGAAAACAATATAAACAAATTCAAAACTATTATTAATCAAGCATGTGATTAAATACTTAAAACTTTGTTTCAAGAAACATGACACATAGACATGTACTTATCATACATAATTGTATATCACCACACTATCTCAGGCTAATTAGCCATTTTATACTGCATTTATCTTAATTTTCTTTAACTTTTAAATTTATTACATAACAGCCTAAAATGATTTGTTAACTTTCATTATGGTGTAATAAATGAAATTATTATTATTATTAATTATGCATGGTTTTTTTTTGCAGAAACTTGTTATTGAAGCTAAGCAAATCAAGGAAAATTTGAAGGTGAGTTACAGACCAGTGAACATTAATGTTACAAAGAGTCTACAATACTTGTTTTGCACAATTCCTGCTTTTATTGTTTTCTTATTGAAACAAGTGTTCAATTTTCAGCCACTTTATATTTTCAGATAAGAAACAACTGTTTTTTATCTGTTCACTCACTTGC